TTAAAGGGGTCATATGATGCGATTTAAATTTTTCCTTTCTCTTTGGAGTGTTACAAGCTCTTGGTGCATAAAGAAGATCTGTAAAGTTGCAAAGACTAAAGTCTCAAATCCAAAGAGATATTCTTTATAAAAGTTAAGAGTCAACCACGCCTACCTAAAATGGCTCGTTCTAACACGCCCCCACATGTCTACGTCATGATGGTGGAAGATTTGCATTACACCACCCAAATGTTCACGCAAAGAAAGAAGGCATAACTTTTATTCTGTGTACTTTTTATTTCTTATTTCTAGGCGCTGTGTTTCGTTGTGAAAGCGAAACTACTTTGGTTGGCCTTCCAAAAGCTGGAGCTGATCCGTGCTGGTCGCTGAGGAAATACATCAACTTTGTGCTGTCGATCGCCAGATTGGCTTTCTCCGTGGACGAAGCAGAGTCCAGCCCGGGGTCGTCACATGTGGTTGCCACAAGCCCGCCGGACGCTCCTTCGTCGAATCCACTGGCCGCGCCGTTCTCAAGCCCGCCCGCCTCTGCTCACTCAAGCCGGCCTCCGCTCACTCTAGGCCGCGGCTCACTCTAGGCCTCCGGCCTCCGCTCACTCAAGGCTGTGGTGTGTGCCGCTTTTTCGAAACTACATTGTTTGGACTTCCTAAAGAGGACACGACTAGAATTCAGTGGTTAAGTTGTATTTACAACACTGTTCCAGAACAGTTTAACCCAAATATTCAGATGTGTCCAGTGCATTTAATGTAGGACTGTTTCCTGATCCTGGTAGAGTAGACTACAATGCCGGCTGTTCTGACTCACAGACTGTAAGTAGGTTTTTATATTTAAAGAATTTGCCACTGACGATTCAAACGCAAGGTTTTGGCAGTGTAGAGTAGCACTTGTTGTTTGTCATTTCTCCGATCACAAATGCAGTCATGGTTTTATGTTACGCTCCGGCCGGACAGGGCATCACAATATGGTAAGGGGTGTAACATTTCCGTCACATGCTTGAGGTATTGGGCCAATCACAACGCACTGGATAGCTGGCCAATCAGAGCACACCTCGCTTTTCAGACCGATGAGCTTTGTAAAAATTGACACGTTTCAGAAAGGCGGGGCATAGAGGAGAAACAATAATGTACAGTATGTGGAAAATTATGTATTTTTTTAACCTTAAACTGCATAAACACATTTCATTTCACCAAATACACAAAATAGTGTTCTTTTTAGCAGCATCATATGACCCCTTTAAAGGGTTACTCCACCCCAAAATGAAACTGTTGTCATTAATTACTCACCCTCATGTCGTTCCAAACCCGCAAGGCCTCGGAACACAAATTAAGATATTTTTTATGCATTCTGAGAGCTCTCTGACCCTCCCATAGACAGCAATGTAAGTAACACGATCAATGTCCAGAAACGTACGGAGATGAAGGTAAAATAATCCATGTGACATCACGGGCACAACCGTAATTTTACGAAGCTATGAGAATACTTTTTGTACGCAAAGAAAACAAAAATAACAACTTTATTCAACAAATCGTCTCTTCCGCGTCACCGTAGCGCAATTTTGTATCCACTGAACGCTAGTGATTTTATGTTCAACAACGAAGCTTCGAAGCTTGTATAAAAAAAAAAAAACACATTTCACACTGAAGCACTGTATCGGAGTTTAATTAGTTTTGAGAAAAGCACATGATCTATGACGTCCAAAGCTTCATTCACCTAAAAAACACTTTTGGCGCATATGAAGAGGCCATCATTATCGAGGACGTTATCGCCGACAACTCCATGTCCTTGGCAGCGTCTGATGCAGAAGAGTGGGGAGATTCTGGAGGAGAGCCCAAAGTCCTTCCCCCTTCTCAAACTCTGAGGCCGAAACCAGACGCCAAACTCATCCGCATCCTGTCGAAGGCCTTGAGTGGTCGGCTCCGGAAAAGCCCCCCCCCACGCCCTGTTAGACGAGTGGTACCTGCCGGGAAGCCATCAACAGTCCTCTCGCCAACGCCCCGCCCCGTTCAGCAGGGCAGGGTCAGCACTGCATACAATAGTGGTTCTCCAAGTGTTTCAAGCCAAGCTTCTCCGCAGTATGGACGAGTCTGGTCAAGAACACCAGGAGGCTTTCAAAGAGCTGCGCAAAGCAACAGACCTGGCTCTGCGCGCCACGAAAGCAACGGCACAGGCAATCGGCAAGACCATGGCCAGTTTGGGGGTGCTGCAGCGCCACCTCTGGTTAAACCTCACTGAGATCAGGGACGCTGAGAAGAATGGCTTTTCTCGACTCACTGGTCTCGCCGTAGGGCCTGTTCGGCCCCACTGTGGACGGGTTTGCAGAAAGGTTTGCAGAGGCTCAGAATCATTGCAGGCGCTGCGTCACTTCCACCCCAAGCGCCCTGGCCCCGTGGCTGCGGGCTGCCCGAAGAATCCCGCCACTCATCCTGCAAAGCCAGCGCAGCCTCAGCCTCAGCCTCAACGGAAATCTGAACCTGGGCTGCAGCAGCGCCCCCGGACGGCGAAACGCTTCCCCTTTCCGAAGCGTCAAGGTCCCCGCCCACGAGTTGTGCTGGACTTGATGCGTCCTAATGCGCAAGAGAGGAAGAGGAGGGGCTCTGTTCTCGCCTCGGACGCCCCGCAAAACAGCTCGCTTTCATCCTACATCCCTCCAAGCACCTCTGAGCAATGGAGTTTCGTTTCCAGCAGGTCACGTACAATAGCGGACCCACATACAATAAAGGTCGTTCAAGATGTTAACTATCAAACAGAACATTGTGCACATTTGCCCCGAGGAGTGGTTTTTGACAGTGGATCTGAAAGATGCATACTTTCACATCCACATAGCCCCCCATTACAGGGTGGTTCATGTGCTTGGCAGATTTAACCTTGGCGCAGAAATGCTGTCCAGAGGCAAGGTAGCCCCGGGCAAATGGGCGCTACACCCTCAAACGGTTCAAGAGATCTGGTCAGTCTTCGGCAGGGCAGAGGTTGACCTCTTTGCCTCAGAAGACAACTCTCACTGCCCAACATACTTCTCGATACAGCGAGATGCTCTGACCCACGACTGGCCCAGTGCTTGCCTATACGCATTTCCCCCAATCGCCCTGATTCCACAGGTCATCAAGCGGGTCAGGGAGACCAAGTGCTCTCTCCTCCTGGTGGCCCCGCTCTGGAGGAACCAGGCCTGGTTCCCAGAGCCAGTGCAGCTCTCAGCAGCAGCCCCGTGGCCCATTCCGCTGAGGAGGAACCTTCTCTCGCAGGCGAAAGGCATGATTTGGCATACCCGGCTGGAGCCTTCATATATGGTGCATCGACGGGAGCTTAATCAGCTCCCAGCGAAAGCAAGCAATACCATTTTGGAGGCAAGAGCGTCGTCTACTTTACAGCCTAAAATGGTCTTCCTTAACTGGTGTTCTGCACGAAGATTGGACCCGATATCATGTGACGTGTCCCATGTGCTAACCTTTTTACAAGAGCTGCTGGATAAGGGGTGCGCCCCCTCCACGCTCAAAGTGTATGTGGCAGCTATCGCAGAGAACCATTCCCTCGAAGCTGGCCAATCGATCGGCAGAAACGACCTGATCGTTAAGTTCTTGAAGGGTGCACGGAGGCTGAATCCTCCTTGCCCTCAGACTGTGCCATCTTGGGATGTCCTGCGGGCCCTGAGAAGGCCCCCCTTCGAGCCGCTCAGTTTGGCTGATTTGCGGCCCTTATCGTTTAAAACTGTCCTCCTCCTTGCCTTGGCGTCGGTTAAGCGAGTGGGTTACTTGCAAGCACTGTCAATCAGCGCCTCATGTCTTGAGTTTGGGCCTAATGACTGTAAAGTCATTCTAAAACCAAGACATGGTTATGTTCCTAAAGTGCTCTCAACTCCATTCAGAGCTCAGGTGATCTCCCTATTGGCACTCTCCGTTGCAGATGGTGAGCTGGGTCCGAAAATGCTCAGAGCAGCTTTTTGTTTGCTTTGGAGGTCGCCATAAAGGACTGCCGGCCACAAAGCAGCGACTTTCTCGCTGGATCGTTGATGCGATAGCCTTGGCTTACACCTCAGAAGGCTTGCAGTGCCCTATAGGTGTAAGGGCCCATTCCACTTGAGGGATGGCCTCCTCCTGGGCATGGTCCAGCGGAATTTCTATCGGTGAGATCTGTGAAGATCTGGTCATCGCCGTCCACATTTGCCAGATTCAATAACTTAGACATCCCTGCTTTACAGGCGTGAGTTCTTTCAGTTTAATGTACCACTCTCCCTCTTGGGCGAAGCTGGTTATATTAGTGCTTCTCAGCCATTAGCTTGGGGCACAATGTGCTCATGTTCTCAGGGGTCCTTATTAGTGCTCCGAGACTGGGCTTGCAGAGCAGGACGTCCTGTATCTGCTCATAGCGTGTTGTTATTGGATGCGTTACTGACGTAACCTTGGTTCCATGAGATAAGGGAACGAGCGCTGCGTCACTAGCAGCACTATAAGCTGCACGCGAATCAATGACTGTCGTTTCAGTCAAATGATCTGATGAATGGGTCTCTGAGCCGACTTATATAAGGGTCGGCTCCGCCCTTTCTGGTGGGCTAAAGCTCCAATGGTTTGTGCAGCTACACAAACTTGAACTAATCAGGCTTCAGTACAGAGTAAAACAGGAGTTTTCCCCTTAGCATCTCACACAACGCTGGTTCCCTTATCTCAGGGAACCGAGGTTACGTCAATAACCAGAGTGTTTTCTATGTTTATTTAGGCTTGGATTTGAACGAAAACAACGTATCCGTGTGGTGCGGCTGTTTGATGCAGAATGCATCAAAAATATCTTAATTTGTGTTCCGAAGATGAACGGAGGTCTTATGAGTTTGGAACGACATGAGTGTTAGTAATTAATGACAAAATGTTCATTTTGGGGTGGAGTAACCCTTTAATTTACTCACCATTCTTCCACAAAACACAAGTATATTCAATTATAATGAAACTGTCTTTCAAAAAATACAAAGAGCATTATAAAAGTATCAAAAAGTGCTCAATAATACTCCTGCACTATATTCCAAGCCACGTAATAGTTTTGTGTGAGGAAGAGATCAAGATCAAAATCAAAATCATTTAGATTTAGCTAACAGGTACGTTCCTGTGAATGAGCGATGGCCGATTCATGAATTAATCATTATGAGTTTAATCTTTTTGCAAATCGTTTGATACGGTCTGAATTGTTCGTGAATCAGATTGATCCAGTTCTCGAGTCCAACTCACAGATTCAATGATCCGGTCCCAGACAACTCACTGGATATTAAGATTTTTTTTAATAATGACGGTCTTTTTTTCACACAAAACTACTGAATAACTTCAGAACAGTTCAAATATAGCATGTTAGTAATAGTCGTTTAGACTACTTGTAGCTATGATGCATTTTGGCACCTTTTTTGAAGACTGAAAGTTTTAGTATCTAATTGTAATTGCCCAGAAAAGCATAGTGATATTTTAAAGATAAAATAAACTATTTGTGTGTTGTGAAAGCATACCTTGAGCATCATTAAACATATCATTCATATGGTTTATCCTGTTTTCAATGACTTCAATGGCTTTGTTCACTGCTAGCACTGGATCAGAGCCGAAATCTTGGATGCCTATAAAAACAATTCAGAGTGAACCCAACAAATCCAACAACAGCACAAGAGTAAATCAAATAGGAACTGTGAAAATGAATTAGGCCTATTTAAAACTTACTTGCAATCTGATCGTCACTGACAAAGTCAAACATGACAACACCTGCTATTGACCAAGAGATCAGAAGTGTGATGATAACCACATATTGTGCCGGGCGATTCATGATTCTTAAAAATCCATGGCTCCGGGCTGTAAGTAAGTCTGGGTGCACTGCCCTAGCCGGGGCATCTACACCAGTGGGAGGGATGGGCTTCACAGCGGGACCTGTAAATATGGATGAATTTACACATATACCTGTATAGCAAACATTGCTCCTAAATGTCAAAAAATTGGAAAATGTTACCTAAATGTCTCTTTTTTTATTACTTGTGTTCATATATTCTAAATACTTTCCATATTTCTACATTGTTCTTTATTTCTATGTACAGTAAGTACAGCACCATAACAACATGATATTTGTTACAGCTGTTCTCTTGCATTAAAAGCAAGATGCATGACTGACTTCACGCTTGCAAGAATAAACTGCTTCTCCATCTTGTGTTATTTTCTCCCTGCTGCTTGAGTTTAATGACATCATGAACTAAACAAAGAAGCTAATTATTAATAAAGTCTTAATATTGCAAAAATTGATCACGTTTGCTAGATTCACCAAAATGTGACAAGTTAAAAAATTGGGGTCGGTATTTTATAATGTTTTTGGAAGAAGTTCCTTATGCTCACTAAGGCTGCATTTATTTGATCAAAATTACAATAAAACAGTAATATTGTGATATATTATTACAATGTTAAATAACTGTTTTATCATTTAATATATTTTAAAATGTGTATTCCTGTGATGGCAATGGTTGAATTTTGAGCAGCCTTTACTCCAGTCCTCAATGTCACATGATGATCCTTCAGAAATCATATATCATCCTATGGTCATCATATATCAATATGCTTATTTGGTGCTCAAATAACATACATTTTTATTAACAATATTAAAAACAGTTGTGCTGTCAGTTTAACATTTTTTGTGTAAACTGTGATACATATTTTTTTTCAGAATACTTCGATGAAGAGAAATTTCATTGCATTGATAAATCTAAATAAATTCTGAGGTTATGAATTATTTTAAGTTAATTATGGACTTCTCTGTATTAATCTCAAATATATAAGATACATAAATGTTATTAGTACAGCATATAATTTGTTTCAGATATGCTTATTTGGTGCTCAAATAACATACATTTTTATTAACAATATTAAAAACAGTTGTGCTGTCTGTTTAATGTTTTTTGTGTAAACTGTGATACATATTTTTTTTCAGAATACTTCGATGAAGAGAAATTTCATTGCATTGATAAATCTAAATAAATTACACACTTCTGAGGTTATGAATTATTTTAAGTTAATTATGGACTTCTCTGTATTAATCTCAAATATATAAGATACATAAATGTTATTAGTACAGCATATAATTTGTTTCAGCAGATTAAAATCTGTTTGTGACATAGGCTACATAGATCAACTGAGCTGTCTGATATGGTACCACAACAGCATTTATTGTGATTCAAGGTTTGTTTGTTTTTTAAGAAATTTATATTTTCATTCAACAAGGAAGCATTAAATTAATCAAAAAATGACAGACTTTTACCATTTAAAGACATTAATATATAAATATTTGAAATATTTAATATTAATATAATAATGTATTATTTAATATTAAACTATTTAATTAATTAAAAATGTAGAGATTTTCATATATGTAAAAAAATATTTAATTAAATATGTATTTAAATATAATGCAAATATAATTAATTAATAACAAATGCTGTCCTTTTGAACTTTCTATTCATCAAAGAATGTTGAAAAAAAACTGCAGAACTGTTTTCAACATTGATTATAATAAGAAATCTTTCTTGAGCATATTAGAATGATATCTGAAGGATCATGTGACACTGAAGACTGTAGTAATGATGCTGAAAATTCAGGTTGCCATCTCGGGAATAAATTACATTTTAAAATATATTAAAATAGAAAACAGTTACTTTAAACTGTATTAGTATTTCACAATATTAGTGTTATTTTTATGTTTTATAAAAACATTAACAAATCTTACCAACCCCAAACTTTTTAATGGTCATTGCATTGAATAATTAAATCAAAATAATAAGTACTTTTCTTTTGATAATTTAGATTCTAAAATGTGTATTAACGCATAAACATGAATTTGTTTAAGACCACCATTGCAAATGTTAAATCTAGAAGTTTTCAATTTTGACAGAAATTTTAAATCCTGAAGTACCTGCAAAATGATCTTAACACAAAAGATACTCAATTATAATTTGATGATAGATGAAAAAACCAAAGGTTGAAAGAAATGTATTTGAATGACACTTTATTCTAAAAATGTTTGTGCATAAATGAAACAAAGCATTTAAATAAACACAATATTTATGAATTAATCCAAATATAGATGGTACAAAAATAAATGTGAAAAACATGAGGTTGGATTTTAACACAAATGCAGCACATAATTTAAATTATAGGCCCAGATAAAAGCAGATCTTCAACTGAACCCCAAAATATTGACTGAAATCAACACTATAGTTGTGAAGAGTAGGTGAGTAACTGCTCCTGAAGTATGGCTCATAAAAAGTAAAGAATGACCCAATAATGAATATTCAAACATGTCATTTTATCACGAAGGACAAAATGAGGGGCAAAAAACAAGGCAGACCAGCAATGAGTTACCTTGAGTGAAATTCTATCATTTCATAATATTTCTCTACGCATTTAGTCGTGTTATTTTATAATGCATGATCTTGTGAGATACATTTAATGGACTTTTTTATTTTCTCTCACAACAGTAAGGATGTTAGCAGTCATTTTATCTTATTTGCAGGAAAGATGCAAGTATGGTCAAGCATAATGCCCACTTGGTCTCGTACTATTCTGATACATACACTGCTCTATTGTTAATCCAAAGTGACTAAATAGAAAATGCACTCATTCTAAGAAGCAGAAAACAAAAGAAAGACATTGAGCGCTTGCTGAAAGCAGCTGCAAAATAATTAGGCCCAGCAAAATCACTAAAACCAGTTCAGACATCATTACCTTCTGTGAAAGTCACAATGATGTGTCAGAAATGCTACCTATGCACTGCTGTATGTCTCGGCTAAAAGGGAGTGTTTTGACACGTACAGTTATTTTAATATACAATTGACAGAGTTCCTTTAATATTTAAAAGAGGCTGGTCAACATCTTACTGGAAGTGTCTAGGAATGATTTCCAGAATCATTGTAAATCTCAAAACGGTTGATGCATGTTGAGCATGCTTTCCTCACAGCGTCGACTTTCTCGGCAGGATAAGAACGCAAAACAGCATTATAAAAAGTAATAAAACAAGCCGAATACGAGGGAAAACTAAACACACTATTTACACTACATACAAACAAGCCATTCTTATCATTAATCGTGACTGATGTGTCTCCCCAGAACACTATTTTTGGCTTTACTGACAAATATAATGCGACTGCATGTCCTTTTTTCAATGGAAGATGAATTGTGTCAGACATTGGGTCGAGATGGCACAAAACTTGGAAGCTTTTCTCATCAAACGCTCTTTCGATCAGTCTTTTGAAGGGCAGTCTATTGTGGCATACTCTCCACTCTGCAGGAGCTCCATGTTTAGAGGTTGTCCCCGGGTTGGTATTGTGGTTCAGTGGCAGTGAAGTAATCCTCCAGGAAGGCTTGCAGATACTCAAAGGTGGGCCGTTCCTCGGGGTCCCTCTTCCAGCATTGGAGCATGAGCTCGTGCAGGGAGCTGGGACAGTCCTGGGGGCAGGGCATCCTGTAACCACGCTCTACTTGCTCCAAGACTTCTCGGTTGTTCATGCCTGAGGGACAAATGCAAAGCATGTGCTCTTTAACTCGGGGAAAGAAAAAAAAAGCTGTGGGGCCCTTAAATTCCTGTATGATGCTGAGTTGTACTTCATTCATTTATTCAAGCTCTTAAAGGGATAGTTCACCCAAAAAGTGAAAGTGAAAAGTGTTGTTTTGTACCCCATAGACATTGTACGGACAAAAACAGTTTAAACATTCAAAATATCTTCTTTTGTGTTCATCAGAAGAAAGATAATCTTACAGGTTTGGAACTTTTTGGGTAAACTATGCCTTTAATTTAGTGCTGTCAAATGATTAATCGCGATTAATTGCATCCAAAATAAAAGTTTTTGTTTACATAATATATGTTTGTGCACTGTGTATATTTATAAATACACACACTTGCACGTATATATTTAAGAAAAATATGTTATGTTTATATATTAAATATATTTATATATAATATAAATTATATGAATATAAATATATACATGTAAATACATGTAAATATTTTCAAAATATATACGGTCTGCTTGTGTTTTATATATACATAATAAAAATGCACAGTACACACACATACTGTATATTATGTAAACAAAAACTTTTATTTTGGATGCGATTAATCGCGATTAATCATTTGACAGCACTACTTTAATTCTGTCATGGGTGTGGAACTCACCCTCATGTCGTTCCAAACACATAACCCCTTGGCTAATCTTCAAAACACAAATTAAGATATATTTAATAAACCTGAGAGGTTTCTGTCCTTCCGCTGAAAGTCCAGGTAACCAATACTTTTACATTATATTTACATTACATTTATGCATTTAGTATAAATGTTGAAGATTCAAAATTGTCATAAAGGCATCATAAAATGAATCCATATGAATTGAGCAGTTTAATTAAAGTCTTGTGAAGAGAGATATGACCACTTTATATGATGAACAGATTTCATTTAGGCTTTAATTCACATGTAAACAGACATGCACAGAGCGCATCACATTTGGTAATGCATATGTTTCCCGCTACAACAAACTTTATTAGTTCTCGTACATCACACATGCATATTTGAACTTCCGTGTTTACCATATGTGACGTGCTCTGTGTGCCGATCATTGTTTAGCCTAAATTAAAATCTGCTCATCAAATACAGAGATTGTATCTCTTCACAAGACTTTTATATGGATTTGTTTTACAGTGCCTTTATGACCTTTTTGGATCTGATAAGTTTTGGACTTTTTGGACGGGACTTTAAACGGGGGTACAGAAACCTCTCAGGTTTCATTAAAAATATCTTAATTTGTGTTTCAAAGATTAACCAAAGACTTATAGGTTTGGAACAACATGAGAGAGCAAGTGGTGAATTACCCCTTTAAAGGCATAATTTAACCACAAA